TCCACTCCACTCCACTCCACTCCACTCCACTCCACTCCACTCCACTCACTCACTCACTCCACTTACTCACTCCACTCACTCACTCCACTCACTCACTCACTCATACACACCTCCTCCCTCCCCTCCTTCTCATCCTCGTCCATCACATCATCACTTATACTACACGTCTTAGCACAACCGCCTCATATACCTTCTCTCCTCACACTTCGTTCTTGACTTTTCATCTCACTACTCCGTCTCCCATGTGATGTTCATATACAATTGAAATTTGTAAAACTTATCATGTGGGGTTATCCGGTCCTTTTATTTTTTTGTTGCTTGAGGATGCTTGAGGCCTATACACGAGAACAAAGCAAAAACATGTTTATCAAAGGTGCCTACGCGAACGCTTTCGCGGTGCATCGGATCCTTCAAACAGACATCATTCAGTGTCAGAGGCAGGTGAAGATGAAGCAGTAGCGGGCGCTTCTTCTCCACGAGTTGCGGGGAGGCTTTGCGGCTGGAAACTCTTCTGGGGCCATCCGGCGTCGGAAGGGGATTGGTTGGGAGGCTGTAGGCGCTTTCGCGGAGCTTTCGTGGGGATCACCTTAGATTTTGTCTTCTTATGGCTCCTGCAACAGCAATCGTAAGACCGCGCTGCGAAAGCCAATCTTCACGCCTCCGCAGCAAATCATCCTTCATTCACACTTGAACATGTCACGTTTCCACACTATTTCACACGAATCTGACAGCTTCCACCCCAAAAACAGTTGAGGGGAAGCTGCTCGACCAAAAAGTTCATTGCGCCACTTCAGCAGCTACACTGGAATGAAGTGCTGTGAGATTGTGTACACGTGTGAGATTGATACTTGCCTATACCTATTATACTTGCCTCCACTGTATTTCTATATGTATTTCTTTCGCGGTTTGCTTTTGCGGAAGAAAGTTGACAAGTTCCACTTTTGCATGAGTCCTTTCAATTGAAAAAAGCGTTGCTCATGTGGTGCTTGCGTTGTACGGTCACCCCGATTTGCGGGGATCCATGGTGAGGAGATGTGAGGAGTGCTTGAGGCTTGTTGGCTCTCACTCTGTTCGCCCTGAATGCTGGCCATCCATTCTCTGGCATCAGGAGTCGGGACTCTTACTCGCTGTCTACTTAAGCGACTTCAAGCTTGCTGGTCCGGCAGAACAGCATGAAAAGGGTTGAGAGTCAATCGGAACCCATATTGACATGGACACCCCCTCCGGGAAGAATAAAACATCGCTTTTTGCGACTGTGATGCCACCGTGTGGTCTTGCAGAATGTCCTGGCGCGAATTCAATGCCATTTGCTCATGGTCAGTGGTCAGTCCCAGCCTTACAAAGCCAATCGGTTTATGCATCGGCTTTCTGCGGTTCAGCAGTCATAAACAACAAACATAAGCAAGGTCCTGGAAACACTTGATCTGGACAGTGTATGTGTCGGCTCCCTTCCGCATTCTTCGAGCGAACTCAGCCAATGAAGATCGACTGCTACCACCTGAGAAGGGCATGTGAAAACCTTTGACATGTTGTCTGACCTGATGTGGAAGACTACGATCTCAGACGGTTAGCGTGGCTTTGCTATTCCGGAGCCGCCATGGACTTGCTACTGGAGAAAACAGTGGTACATGGAGGCCATCGCTGGTGGATTGGAGCCCATTGCTAGTAGGTTGGGGGTAGGGTGGGGGCTATTCGTGAGGAGCCCAAGCTTCAGGAACCCAAGGCGCCTCTGCTGCAGTTGGTGGTGTCCACAAAGGGAGCTTCCGCGTTTTCTGTGCCCACTCCGCAGTCATGGTACTGGAAGGCACAGCCATTCAAATTCAAGGCCTTCAAATTCTTCGTGATTCCACCTTGACGAGCAAACCAACATAAATCAACGAGATGTTTCGAGGTTTTTTGGACAGGAAGCCAATTGTGGACGCCCCCTTTTTTCTTGGGGGGTAGGCTGTGTCGAGGTGAGGTGGTTTAGCTAGGTAGGTAGCTAGTAGTAGCTAGGGAGTTGCTAGTAGGTCAAGTAGCTACTAGTAACTGGACACAGGATTGCTCACGCTGGGGAGCTTCCTTGAAGAAGCGCCCGCACTATTCATGTGGTTTCCAGATTTTTCAGGGAAACTCAACTCGGAGAACTGCCTGCCCCCGTTAAAAAGAGCTTTATATATTATACTAAGAAGTTTCAAAGACATGTTACAGGTCTATTGGTAACAAGAAGCTACTAGTAACAAGTGCCACGCTAGTAGTAACAGGTGCCTTACTAGTAGTAACAAGAAGCTACTGTGAATGGGCCGAGGCTCTTTTGCATCCTCTCGACGGCTCGTAGCAATCTCCTTTGCGGACCTGGTTAAAATGCCAGTAACTCCAGCAAGCTAACCCTACGTTGCCCCCGACGTCCAGAAGGGAATCGCCGGCTTTGGCAACGAAGCAATCCAACACCCCACTGCCCTTGAAGGGCTGGTACACTTTTGAGATCATCAATTCCTTAAAGACAGCCAGATCCGAGGTGTTCCGTCTAATCTTGGGGCACCGCAGGTTCTTCCTCTTCATCATTCTCTTCCAACGGAAGTACTTCTTCTGTGCTGTCTGCAGATCAGTGCTGAAATACATGCGCCTGGATTTGATCCCTCCTGCGGAAAAAAGATCACAACGGATCAAACGCCTGCAACCTATTAGCAAAAGGAACCTAATAGCGGCCTCCAACCCAATACCAATCAACATATCACCTGAGCCTGAGCCTGAACCCACAGTTTCCTCGGCGTTTGGGTGAGTCGACGCCGACCGTACTGCTAGGCTGTTCGGCCAAATGGGCCCAGCCTGCTGCTAGAATTGTAGTAACAAGGATGCTACTAGGAACAAGTGCATCGCTTCTAGTAACAAGTGCATTACTAGTAACAAAAGGACGCTAATAGATGCTACTAGCAACAAAGGGCATCGCTATATAGTAACAAGGACGCTGCTTGAATAAGCTTGCTGGATGGTTGTGTCCAGTCAGTCCCGGGTTGTTTCTCTGATTTTGCATGGTTCGGTTGCTTCCGACCATGTTTATATGCATCTATGGCCCCGTAGTTTAAGATGTGACTCATGTTTCTTGTTTTGTAGTGTCTTGGTTTGAGCATCCGTGGATGAGCTGGAAGTCCCTGATCTTGGGGCCAAGGTATCCGTCGTTCATGGGGGCTCGGGGCTCGGACCGGGGCTCGGGTATCAAGTTCCTCGCCCAAAGCTCGTTAGGCCCAACAAGTCACGAAGACAAGTAAGGAGGGATAAACAAGTAAGGAGGGATACTTCTATTTTTGATCCAGTTCTCTCCTGATGTGCTCTCGGCCGATGTCTTCTTTCGCTTCAAGGTTTCCTTTCGGACCTTTCCTTCCTCAATCTTGGGCTTCAAGCCGTTCACTGGGGGCGGCCCATGATCTCGCCACTCGGCAAAGGTCTTCTGTCGTGCTGCCTCACGCTCTTTGTCCCGTTCGGCTTCCAAGAGCCTCTTTTGCTCAGCTTGCTGTTGTGCAAGGAGCTCTTGCCTGGACGCATGTTTTGGGGCGCTGCGTCCTGCAGCGCCCTGCCCTCCACCAAGATAGACCCTTTGCCAATCCCAAAAGGAGACAACAACAACATATTTATCAAGACCAGGAACTCCTGCTGGCGTGCTCTAGCCGCTGCCACGCTTTCAGCAAACTGGCGAAGCTTTCGGGCTGATGGCTGCCATGTGCCCCAACATTACTAGTAGCTTCTTGTTACTAGTAGCGATGGCCTCCAACCTACTTGCGATGGCCTCCACCTAATAGCGTCCTAATGCACAGTGTGCAACTAACACACTTCACCCCAAGCGGCGCCTGATGGAGAAGCTCTGGTGGGGGCTCCACAGGCGCCCATCGTCCATCTCCTGAGTCGATGCCTCGGATGCTTTTTCTTTCACTTTTCGAACCACTGACCTGAAAGAAAGAACACCCAAATGCATGTTCATGCACTTCAATCTTCTTTTCCTTCTTCCATAGATGTAGGCAATCATACTGCTTGTGCCATGTTCTTACGAGTGATAGCCGCACTTTTCGCATGCATGAAGGAATAAAAAGTAAAGATGCAAAATGCGTTTTCAACCCACCTTCCTTAAAGTAGAGGAACTGTGGAAATTAGACATTTCCAGAAGTGCTTTCGGGCTACGTTCTTTTTTGGGGTTGGGAGCTGGGAAATATAATTTTGCTCCTCGCGGCGATTCATTCAGCGGCTCAGATGATTCCATTCAGCTATGGCCTCCAACCTAATAGCAATGGCCCGCATGCAGAGGCGTGCACTACTTTTTCTTTTGCATTTGTCGAATGCTTGTCCTTGTCCGGGTTAATAGCGATGGCCTCCTAACTAATAGCGATGGCCTCCAACCTAATGGCGATCGCTCTTAGGGTAGGGGCCATCGTTCTTAGGTTGGAGGCCATGGGTCTTAAGGTAGGGGCCATCTTCATTAGGTGGGAGTTGACATACCGATTGCGTTTTCAATTTGCGCATGGTGCGGCCCACAGACTATGGAGCCTGAAAAGGCGACTAAGAAGACGGGGCCAGCAGCGGCTAGCAGCGATCACCAGGGGAGTTCTTCAAACCTGATAGCGATGGCCTCCACCCTAGTAGCTTCTGGTTACTAGCGACGTCCAACCTAGCTACCTACCTCCTAGCGGCCTGTGGATCTATCAAGACTTTACCTGTCTGCCTAGCGGCCTATCTGTGGCACCAAACAGGCTGGAATGCAAGACATGCAGTCCAATTTCGTGTCCGGTGGTTGCCCCGATTCTGTTTCGGTTCTCCGATTCGACCGCCGCCCGAAATTCAGACCCAGGCACGTGTCTTTACGAGGATGGTTTTCCAGCTGCCATCAGGCCGTGCCTCTCTCCACACGGTGGGCGTGTCAGTTGACACAGCCACGCCTAGGCAAATCGCAAAAGAAAGGGAACACGTCGGCAGGTGGTGATCATGTCATAGGTGGCGTGCACGCCAGAAAATAGCAAAAAGCCACACAGAAGAGTACGGGACAGCAAAGATTTCTAAAGAAATGTCCAAAGATGTAAGCATGGCGAGCCAAAGGAAAGACTAGAAGAGTGTAGATGTTCCAATCCAAATGCTCATGTCAAAACACACGGAGGAATAAACACCAGTTAGACAAGTCTTGACAGGTAGAAATTTCGGTCTAAGAAAGCTTGCCTTCTACAACATCACATGTCCTAAATCTCTTCAGTTTCCACATCATTCGTGCGCACTTCTTCAACCGTCCTCAGGACGGGGGGGAGCTTCCTTGAAGAAGAGTGAGCATGCTATCCTGCATCCATATTATGTAGGAGCATACTAGTAGCTACTAGCGAACTACTCTCTTCTACCTTAGCCTTAGCCACCTCTCTTGTCGCAGCCTACCCCCCCAGGCCAAAAACAGAACCTTCTGCCGGATCAAGGGGCAGGAGGTTGCTGACTGACTTAGCGTGTGACCTTTTTCACATTTCGTTGACTTTTGACCGTTTCTATGAGTTCCCCCAGTCTGTTTTGATGCAGGCCTTTGTGGAGGCGTGTTGATAAATCACCTACTTTTGGAGGTTTTCCTCATGATTCACTCATTCTTGAGATGTAAAGCTGTCTCGGCTCATGGCACTTACACTGTGATGGTCAGGCGTGACTTGAAGCAAATGGCCAAGTCCAAGTTCAAGAGAAAGGAGACCGCGCGTGCTCAACCACCACACATATAAATTAAATGCTTTTGCTGTGTCAAGGTGCACTGCAGAAGCGCTTCAAAGGAGGCTTGCCAGTGAAGAAGAGTTCAAAGTCTGAAACAAAAAGCCGGAAAAGCCACACTGGCTCAGGGTACAATTAAGAACACACATGGTAACAAAAGTGCACGTCATCAGTCTACAAGCTCTGTAGTGGATGCAAGCTGTACTGAAGATGCTGCAGCTTTCAAAGAATCCCAAACAAATCAGGTTGGATGTTCCAGCATGGGAAAGCATTTGTCAGCAGAAAATCAAGAACTTTCCGGTTCATGGAAAGCAGCAGTAGCTCTACTAGTAACAGGTGATCGCTACTGGTAGCCCCTGGCCTTACTACTAGTAACAAGAAGCTGCTAGTAACAAGGGCATTGCTACTAGTAGCAAAGTTACAAAACCGTTCGCCTGGTGCGACAACTCAAGCTGGAACTCAAGGTCCCTTGGACTGGTGGTGGATACTGCTACATTCTGCTACATACCGAGTTCTTTGAACATCAAAGATTCGTTCACAGGCGGCTTAAATCAAAAAAGGATTCGTTACATGCATATGCAGGCCTTTGCTTGGAGATAGCATCTTCCGGTTTGACGACTTGAAGTAAGAACTTGGAAAGCTGAAGTACAAAGGAAATGCACCGCGACCCTTGCTTTGAAGTCAGGTATTGGAAAAACAGTATGACAAGCATCCTGAGACGACAATGACAACAGGTTTAATATCAACACGTGACCTCAACAAGGTCACGTGTGTGGAAGTCTCGACAAGCACGGAGAGATGTAGAGATTTCAGCCGAAAAGTTACGACGAGTAGAGATTGCTAGAGGAAAAAGCTGACAAAATGAGAAGTGGAGATGCCTAAAGCAAAGTCATACCGGCATGAAATAAGGCATGTATGAATTTGGCCATGCCAATCATGTAACAAAACAAGAACCTATCCCAGTCCTCACATTTGTCGTGGACGTCTCTGGGCGTCTGGCCACGCTGTTGAAACTGATAAGCATGACCAAAAAGGTCTGTGCCGTCGCCATCCCGTCGGGGCGACAGGTGATACCTGCGAGTGCCGTCGAGCGATGTCGCACCGTGGGTTGTCCTACCTAGTAACAGGTGCCACGCTACTCGTAACAGGTGCCTTACTAGTAGTAACAAGTGCATCGCTATTAGAAACAAGTGCCATACTACTAGTAACAAGAAGCTATTAGAATTCAATTAATAGCTTTTTTGTTACTACTAGTAAGGCACTTGTAATTACTAGCAAAGGAATCTACTAGGACCTTTTCGTCCTCGCGCGCGCGCGCGCGGGGGGGGGGTAGCTTCTTGTTACAAGGCACTTGTTACTAGAAGCGATGCACTTGTTTCTAGTAGCTTCTTGTTGAGCTGGCTGGGGACAGCCTAGAGTCCTAGATGTTCTCCACTTTGGGATAGCGCTGGCCCTTAATATTCCACTGTGACTCGATTCCGCAACAAATACACGAGTCAGTATACCGGACTGGACTTGGTTAGAGCCTCTTAGAGCTGATTGCATTCTGCATTGACTGGCTGGGATTCATTGCGCTCTGGACTGGAGTTCACGGACAGAACTGGAGTTGACTGCGCTGGACTGGGTGGAGTTGCACACTGCGGATCCAACCATGTTGCACAATGAAACACTGAGATGCATGCACCTGCCCTGCACAGTCAAGGTGGCATTGAGCCACAATGCAGTTGAGACTGTTGTGCTTTCTGAAACACTTTGCACTTCGTTTTTGTCCAGTCGAGTGCACACTCAAGTCAACTCCAGCCAGTCCATACATCCAGTCAAATGATACCTGCGGCATAGCTCCACCAAGAAAAAGGACGGCATGAGGCGATAGCTTGTTTCACATTTTGGTGATTGCAATTTTGTTTGTTGAAATTTTTGCATTAAATGCTCCACCATCTTGATGGGTCTCATTTTGCTTCCCAAAATCTTACCAACAAAAACATCCCGATTTGTCGAAAAAATGATTTCACAAATTGGCGTGAGAATCTAAAAAACAAACAAACACGCTTCATAATCACAATTTGTAACGGCCGACCAGAAACGTTTCTTGCATGTTGGAGGCCATCGCTAGTAGGTTGGAGGCCATTGCTGTTGGGGGGGAGGCCATCGCTCTTAGGGCGAAGGCCAATTGCTATTAGGTTGCTTTTGCTATTAGGTTGGAGGCCATTGCTCTTAGGGTGGGGGCCATCGCTCTTAGTCTTAGGGTGCAGGCTATGGCTATTAGGTTCCTTGTGCTATAAGGTTGGAGGCCATTGCTTTTAGGGTGGAGGCGTAGTGGCATGCTGCACCTGCGAAGCTGCGCGTTGTGGTAAAGGAAGAAGTGGTTGTCCTGACAGCCACATGATTGCAACCTTTTTTCAATACAAGGATTTAGTGGTTCCAGTTTTCCCGAGTGTTTGACGTAAATTTGCAACCCTTCCTCGACACAAAGGGGATAATATACTCCCTCTCTTTCCTTTCTAATTCACATCAATGCCTGCAAAGGATGCTTGAATGACCCGTGGAATGGCCCGCCTTCCAATACACTGGGCGGTCTCCTATGATGACCTGCAAGTTGTGCGAGTCTATTGGTGGGCTGCTTGGTGCCTGCTTGGGCTGATCATGGCAAACCAATGCCCTGCCTTTGGGTCACCCTGGACGTACACCCCGTTCAGCTCAGGAATCGCCGTAAAGCCATCAAGGAAAATCCTGAACCGGAATGCAGGGTGTTGCGAGAGCAAACATTGTTTGACAACAGCTCACCTCTCGCGACGCGCCATGGTGGGCTGCCGCTTGAGCTTGGGATGACTGTTCGGAACACCGGTTCCTTTCTGGACTTGTTGACAGCTCAACTTCTTTTTAAATTGTCTTCACCAAAGCCCTGTAATTACTTCTCACAACTCATCCTGTTCAGGTCGATCCCATCCGCGCATAGTTTTTGATCCTTTCCTTGACTAGTGCGTATGTATATTGTTTATACATACCGGTATATTATATATGTATATACATGCCAATGTACATGCATACGTGCATGCATACACACCATCATGCAAAAATCCAAATAATACATGCACTCATATGCACTATTAAAATTGCAACATTCATTGATGATACATGCACTTGTAAAGACATGCGCATACATGATATGCATACATTGCACCACATGGCAAAGCGCCTAACTTGAAAACTTGCCCTGCTTTTCTCACGATGATCTGAGCAAGCTGATTCATCAGCAAGTGTTCTTCCATGAGCTGGAACCTCAATACAATGACCCGCTCACGGTGATTTCTCTTTTTCCAGGTGAAACGTCTCCAGGGCTTCTTGCAAAGTCATTGCCTTAGGACAAAACGATTCGCCCACTGTCCCAAAAGCTGTCGAAATCGAGGGCATCACCAAGGGCTGCTTCAACAAGGAAGGGGAACTGCTGGGCATGGATCTGCCGGTGCCTTCGGACCCAATTCAAAAGCCACAACAGAAGAACCACCCGAAGAACACCAAGAAGGGAGCGGTTGGTGGAGGAAAACATGCATTAAGAGGGTATGGAATTGATTGGTTCTTGATCCTTTGGGGTGCTCATTTCATGCCGGTCCAGTCCAAGACCTGACGTTGAAAGGAGTTCTTTAGACAGCAGCACAACTTCTCGCAGGACATCACCCGAAACAAAAGGAAAGAAAAGAACAGAAAGGAACCATCTAAAAATCGAAAGACAAGGGAAGGGAGAAAGGAAGAACGGTCTAAAGGTTCAAAAAAAAAAAACAAGACCTAGAGGTCTTATTGTTTCCAATAAGCTGTCCGTGAAGTCCGAGACTTAAACAGGACATCAATTGCTGCCTCCTAAGGGCACAGAGAAATATTCTCGACATCGCCTCGGATCGAAGAAGTCTGTGGTAGCGCTGGTAGGAACACGCAACATCACTCTTGTCTTTTTTATTTCATTATTCTTGTGTTCTATTGAAGGTTCCAGGAGCCTTCGAAATTTTCCCTAGTTCCACCGAGCAGCCAGTTCATCTCATCATTGCCCTGTCAGGCCATCAAAAGCAAGGCCACACACAAGCTACTAAATGGATGAAAACTTCACCCGGTCTTTTGCCAATTTGACGATCCTGTGCCCAGCTTGCTTGCCAGGAATTGTTCCACCTGGCCAATCCACCATATCTGCATGCTGGCAACAGCTCTTTTCCTCGTCAAAGCTTCCACCGAAACCCAAATAGATACTCTGTGCCTGGATTTCTTGGGCGTTGAAACTGCCGCCTGCCAAGTGAACTACAGCTTCCGTGATGCTCAACAGCTTCCGCTAGCATGTGTCGTCTGACCATCGGGCACGACACGACCATTGGGCACCCCCAGGGCACCTCTGCCTTTCCAAAGGTGTTTTCACGCTCCACCTGGGTGGAATGTGGAATCTTTGGGTGGAATGAACTGAGAGAAGAAAGGCCTTCAAGGTTTCTTCCCTAGAGAAAGTGAAGGTAGCCAAAGCTACATCTTGGCCTCGGGCCCAGCCACGCCAAAACCTCGGTCAACAGAACCTTATTTAGAGGCCCTCGCTCAAGGCTCCCATCGGATGCACCTGAGGCCGCGTCGTGGCCGCCTCACTGGGCGGCATGTTGGCCAGAGCTTGGAACAAATGTCGCCGCTCCTCGCTTCGAAAGCGGCGGAGGCGAGCGGAGGCGGCCGCAAAAGCCGGCGACGTGCAGCAACGGGAAGTCTGAGGCAAAGCACATAACCCGCTGGGACATGGCCATGGGGTTGGATCCTGACACGTGATCGACTCGGCTCTGTAAAGCAGCTCACCAAAATGCAATCAAGCCACTTGCAGCGCAAGGTCAGAGGCAATTCTGGCGTGCTGTAGCTGGACCAGTCCTGCCAATGCTGAGACGCAATGCTTTCCATCCACAGAATCGAAGAAACATTAGGGGAAGGCTCCAACCTGATAGCGGCGGCCTCCAATCCTAAAGACATTCTTCCAAAAGCCTTAAGCGCTATCCTTGACTTTCCGCCAATAGGATGGCATCCTGGCTGAGCTGATTGCAATCACTCGCGCCATTCAAACCACCAACGAGGTCATCTTCCAGCCAATCTGCAACAAAAACAGGTCAGGCTTCGCTGGTAATCCTTGCAGCCGCCAATGCTATAGGCTCCAACATGGTCGAACCTCGGACCGCCCGCGCTCCGCCGCGCTGACCCCGCTCCGTCCGCCGTGGACCCGGTGCGTTTGGGGTCCGCGGCAAGGTCCGGCGAAGTTGGCCAGGTTTCCCTGGCTCATCGTTCCACCTGAGCCACGCGAAAAGAACCAGAAGCTACTAGTAACAAGTGCCTTACTAGTAGTAACAAGAACGCTACTAGGGGCTCCTGGCCTTACTACTAGGAACAAGGACGCTACTAGTAACAAGTGCATCGCTACGTTCGTAACAAGTGCCTTACTTCTAGTAACCCAAAGCTACTAGTAGCATTCGTTTCCACCGTTGGATCTCCGTTTTCCATCCAACGGATCTGATTCCTATCCGCCGGAGAGGACAATCATGAGATCCAAACGCAAGTTGGCGGTCGTTCATGACCTTGGTGTGCAGGAATTCTGAACTGACGGTGAAGGATTAAGCCAGAACCTTAACTGATGCTAATGGTTGAATTCAATTCATCGGATGGACCGATGGAGGGGTGCGCGAAGTGCATTGAGCAGGTGACATACCTCTCTCGCATAGGTGGGGGACCTTCGCCTGAAGTATCTCTTGCGAAACTGTGAGCTCTAAGTGAGTTTCCCTAAAACATGTGGAACCAAATTTTTCGCGCGTGAGCTATCCTGTGTCCAGTATGTAGTAGCCTCCTACTTTGCTAGTAGCTTGCCACTCCCTTACTTGATTAAGTAGGGACCTGCTTAAATAAGTAGGAGCGGGCGTTACAAAATACAGCTCTCCAAAATAAGTGATTCTGGATTCGAAGTTTCCTTCACTGATCTTCTCAACATCCTGCCTTCCTTCCGCTTTGGTTTGTCAAAATACTCCCGGACACCGCTCTGGACCTGGAAGGGGTGCTCCCCACTGAAACCACACTCCCTGTGTCAAGAAACGGCCGATGCCTCGTGGTTCATGCGTGACATCATGATGTGGTGACCCTCCAGGCCAAGCGAGTGAAGGAGTTGCGTGGTAGCCATGCGAAGAGATGAAACGAAAAAGCACCAGGGAAAGGCCCCTACCCAATAGCAATCGCCTCCACCCTATTAGCGAGGCCCTGCGGCCTACCAGCGATGGCCTCTGACCTACTAGTGATGGCCTCGAACCTACGATAATGAAAAAACCAAATGGCCGGGTGCCTCATCCCAGGGTCGTCGTCCCAGTGTTCTGTCATCGTATCTGTGGCACAAAAAGTGAAGTGAGTTGGGCCAGTCGCCATGAGTGGCATTGGGCACAGCTCCATGCACGGTGCGCTAAGTCCAGGACTCTCCAAGCGCTGGCGCCTTCACAGGATCTTCGTCACTGATGGCACCACCTTTAGCCTAAGCATTCGACAAGAACTGTGCGTGTGCGCTTCATGGCGTCGTATCAAAGAGTGATCTTGATCAAGCGGAGATGTGCTTGGTGGATCCCAGCCACCAAACAAAGCAGCGGCAATTTGCAATGAACACTATGAAACAGTGCTTCACTGAAACCGTGCTTGGTTTGGAGCTTTCTTCTCCTTCTTGTCCGGACTCTTCTCCGCGTTCTTCTCCTCTTGCTTCTTCTCCTTGAGAGGAGAAGCCCTCCCAGCCCCCTCAGCCCCCTGACAGCCGAGCCTGGAGTGCCTTCTGCTTAGTGGTTGGCAGCCAGAGCCTTCAGCTGTCGAGGTTTCTCTACGAACATGCGCTTCAAGTCCCGGTCTTCCGACTAGGAAGCTACTAGGAGCAAAGGGCATCGCTACTAGGAACAAGGACGCTACTAGGACCTCCTGGCCTTACTACTAGGAACAAGAAGCTACTAGGAGCAAGCAAGGATGCTACTAGGAGATGGAGGCCATCGCTACTAGGTGACCTCGTTCTATGTTTCTATAAAACCAGGAACTGTGATGCTCCGAGGCTCTCGCGCTGGTGGCCCTTTGGACTTCTCCGGTTTTGGGGTCGGCTGGTTGGCAGAGGACCTCACAAATCCGAGCTTGGATACGGTTCCAATCCTTCGGATTTCTTGAAATCTGAAGACACGAACATCTACGAACAAGGACGCTACTAGGGGCTCCTGGCATCGCTACTAGGAGCAAGGACGCTACTAGTAACAAACACGCGTGCCGCGGGCCGCGTCTTTCCCTTGAACGTCCAACTGTATTCCCGCTGAGGCCATGGGCTCAAAGTATGAGTAGGGCTGCTTCATGCTTCTGACCTCGCCACATGCGCCACATGGCCAAATTGGTGCCCACTGCTTTCTTTCCATTTCCATTTTCGTCTCTGCGACTTTTCTTCAGTAGGTTGGAGGCCATCGTTCTTAGGTTGGCCAATGCTCTTATGGGGGAGGCCATCGCACGTAGACTTTGGATCTTCAACTCCTCACGACCATGGCCGACAGAACCTCAAGTTTCAGACCCACTCGGTGGTGTCCCGTGGCTTCAGCGCTTTTCGCAGCTGCAGCGGCCCGGTGTGGATCTTTGCCTTGGCTTCACCGCCCTTTTCACGACGCTATGGCGTCTTTAGAAGGCCAATCATATTGCACTCAAATTCGGCATAAAAGAACAATCATCCGAGTAAACAATCCATCTGGACACTTTCACATCCAAGCCACTCCCCGTGCTTTGGCCGACATCTTGCCGTACCTCGTCGTCTTACCCATTTCCGTTCCAAGCCGGATGGGAAGCCAAAAAAGAGCGGAAGTGATCCACAGAAAAAAAACCCTTCGCAACTCACTGTGATTGGGGGAGGATGAACGCACGCGCACAGTGATCGCTCGTGATCCGTCGTTCGGGCCCCTCGGGCCCCTCGCGTGTCACGGACTTCCACGATCTTCGCCGCGAGCATCGGCTTCTCACCTCGCGAGCATCGGGTCACCTTCCCCGGTCCGTTCTCGGAGCGTCCGTTCGACGCGACGACGCATGTCGCGTCGAACGGAGGACGGGTCTGGTGAAATCTGAAAACGGGAGCCAAGGCAAATGAAAACGCAATGAAAGAGGTGAAGTCAGACGCGAATTCTTCAGCTCCTGACTCGCCCCTCCAGCCTTCGCAGAGCTTCAACGTGTTTTGTCTTCGTGTGAAGCTCTGACCGAGCCATGAAGCCCAAACAAAGAAGCCCTGCTGGCCTTTGCCTTGCCATCTTTGTCCTCGCGCCAGACGCGAAGAATGAGGTCGAGATTTCGAACCCGCGAGATTTCGGGCTGTCCTTGGGCTTTGGTGACCTGGGCATGAGGAACTAGCATGGGTTCCAAATTCAAAAGGCGAGGAGATAAGCTTAGCTGCCTAGCCAGCATGTACAAGAAACTTTCCATGGAGGTCTTCAACAATTCCAATTTTGAACTGAGACCCTTGCTGACTCTTGCCTCGCACCATCGGTGAAACGTGAGACGAACTCTGTGGCCGATGCGGCCGATGTGGCGCGTTTCACGTTCTTCAGTTCTGTAAAACGTGAGTCGATGGGTTTCCCTCTGGAAAAAAACATGGCCGTCTCTTCGCTGTCATTCTGAGCGGGAAGATCTGGCAAACGGCCAGTCTCGCTGCGAGCCCCAGGGCCGAAGGGGAAGGGGTAAGACAAAACAAAGACGGAGCTTGTCAGCTACTCTTTGCAAAAAGAGGAGCTTGTGGGGAGTAATGATCTATGTGGGAAGAGTAGCGACAAGTCTCACAAAAGGTCAAAGCAACATGTCCATGACATGTCCAACATGCCCATGTGAACTTGTTTGTCACTCTGTGAGCTCCTTTTTAGTGCCGTGTTCGTCCAAGTGGTCCAGCTGTCGAATGATTTCAGCTCGATGGCGCATGACCTGAATCAGCCGAGACAGGTGCACCACAACTGCTCTGCGGGCTGGGTCCGGGTGGGTTCGACCAAAGCCTGCAGAGCATAACTGAAGAGTATAACGAAAGAACAACGACAGTTTTTGGTGCTCGCCCCCATTTATTTATCGCGCAATGAACTGGTAGGGGTTGCGAAGCTCATTTTAGATGGAGGCGGGACATACTCTTAAAACGCAGTTCGAGCTTGATGTGTGTCGTGCTTAATTCGTTTGGGTGCATATTGGGTTCAGAAACCTTCATCGCTCCGACCAGAGCGTCAGCGATGAGACCACATGCGGTCATGAGAGATGGAACGAAAGGAAAAACAGGAAGGTAAGGACGGCAAGGCCTTTGCAAGAAAAAACACATACAGCAAACTTTCCTTCCAGTTTTTAAAATCCCTTCTTCGTTTCTTTTAGGACATCTTTGGTTTAGTCAAGGCTAACCTGTATACCTCAGCTTACCTGTCACAGGTACGGCTGGAATGAGATTCAGCTCCCGACCTGGAGGTTGTAGTCCAACCGCCCAGGCCAAGAGAGCTTCGCATGCTGTGAGTTGATCCACTCCTGCTGAGTGGACGACTTCCTCTCTCCCTCTGCTTTGCTGTTGCAGCTTGCACTTTGCTTTTTCTTCTCCCCCGGTTTGCGACAGGATTTGTTTGCAAAGTGCTTCCACGACCCTGCGCGGGCTCTGTGCTCCTGCAGAAAGGGCCGCGCAGCCTTGGGGATCTCAAACCTCAGGGGAGCCCAACGTGGAACCAGAAGTCCAGCAGCTAACATCGCCTGGCGCGCGGCCGTGACGACAAAAAGGCCCAGCGGCAACTTGTCAGGCGTGAGATCTCACATTTTGTCTGACCAGAATGAGACACTTGTTGGCACTTAAGCGAGCCGCAAGTGAAGTCTTTCTCTCTGCCTGGGCAATGGGATGTCTGAGGTCATCCGCACCTCAGAATGCTTTTCCTAGCTCATTTAATTTTGTTTGAATGAATTGTTATCTTTTTTGTATTCTTCAAACATTCTCTCCCTCTCTCTCTGAGGTTCTGAGTCGATGGCGGCCGGGCGCCAGCAAATGCGAACGCTTAAGCATATGCCTCCGACATGGAACCACCATGCTTGTTTTTCTCAGCTGTGTCATGTTGTTTTGTGCTGTTGTTCTGCTGCACCTGATCGACTCCCAAAGCATCACGGCGAATGGTACTGCAGGATCTTGCCGAAGATTCAGGATGGCTGGATGGCTAAGCACTTGATCCTTGTCATTGTCGAAACAAACACAAAATGAGAAGCCCTATATACAGTAGCCGCTGGGAAATGAAGAAGGGCTTGGGGAATCAACTGCATTGAGCCAGAAAATGTGAAACCTCAACTGAGATGCTGACCATCTGCCACTCCAAACGGGCTTCAACCCTTTCACCCAAGTCATCCTAGCAAAAACACTCGAAGACGACACCAACCAAGACCGGAGGCCATCGCTCTTAGGTTGGAGGGCATCGCTCTTGGGTTGGAGGGCATCGCTCTTAGGCTGGAGGCCATCGCTCTTAGGTTGGAGGGCATCGCTCTTAGGTTGGAGGCCACCGCTCTTGAGTTGGAGGCCATCGCTCTTAGGTTGGAGGCCATCGCTCTTAGGTTGGACGCCATCGCTCTTAGGTTGGAGGCCATCGCTCTCAGGTTGGACGCCATCGCTCTTAGGTTGAAGGGCATCGCTCTTAGGTTTCTTAGGTTGGAGGCCATCGCTCTTAGGTTGGAGGCCATCGCTCGCAGGTTGGAGGCCATCGCTCTTAGGTTGGAGGCCATCGCTCTTAGGTTGGAGGGCATGGCACTTAGGTTGGAGGCCATCGACCTTAGGTTGGAGGGCATCGCTCTTAGGTTGAAGGCCATCGCTCTTAGGTTGGAGGCCATCGCGCTTAGGTTGGAGGCCTTCGCTCTTAGGTTGGAGGCCATCGACCGCAGGTTGGAGGTCATCGCTCTTAGGTTGGACGCCATCGCTCTTAGGTTTGAGGGCATCGCTCTTAGGTTGGAGGCCATCGCTCTTAGGTTGGAGGCCATCCCTCTTAGGTTGGAGGGCATCGCTCTTAGGTTGGAGGCCATCGCTCTTAGGTTGGAGGCCATCGGTCTTAGGTTGGAGGCCATCGCTCGCAGGTTTGAGGGCCGCTCATAGGTTGGAGGCCATCGCTCGCAGGTTGGAGGCCATCGCTCTTAGGTTTCTTAGGTTGGAGGCCATCGCTCTTAGGTTGGAGGGCATCGCTCTTAGGTTGGAGGGCATCGCTCTTAGGTTGGAGGCCATCGCTCGCAGGTTGGAGGGCATCGCTCTTAGGTTGGAGTCTGGAGGCCATCGCTCTTAGGTTGGAGGCCATCGCTCTTAGGTTGGAGGCCATCGCTCGCCGGTTGGAGGTCATCACTCTTAGGTTGGACGCCATCGCTCTTAGGTTGGAGGCCATCGCTCTTAGGTTGGAGGCCATCGCTCGCAGGTTGGAGGCCATCGCTCTTAGGTTGGAGGCCATCGCTCGCAGGTTGGAGGCCATCCTTCTTAGGTTGGAGGCCATCGCTCTTAGGTTGGAGGGCATCGCTCGCAGGTTGGAGGCCATCGTTCTTGGGTTGGAAGCCATCGCTCGCATCGCTTGCAGGTTGGAGGCCATCGCTTGCAGGTTGGAGGCCATCGTTTCTTAGGTTGGAGGCCATCGCTCTTAGGTTGGAGGCCATCGCTCTTAGGTTGGAGGCCATCGCTCGCATCGCTTGCAGGTTGGAGGCCATCGTTCTTAGGTTGGAAGCCATCGCTCGCATCGCTTGCAGGTTGGAGGCCATCGCTCTTAGGACAAAATGAAAAAAGCACGACCGGTGCTGCGCCACTCTCTCCTCGGTCTCCAGTGTCTGGATGGTCACTGCTTTCGCATGCTGGAAAGCACACGACTGTTTCTCGCTGTGCGCAGAGAGGGCCCAAAATCTCGGTTGGACATGGCCACAGAAGGAACACCCTGAAGACATGGTAACGCGACACCCTGAACCTGGCGAACACTTTTGACGTGAACACCGTGTGCTGAGTCTGCTACGCAGTGTTGCCGTCACCTCTGCAAACCGTACCACACACATTCAGAAATGGTCGATTCAATCATTTCGACCCTTCCATGAATTTAGTGTCGGTCACACATAGTTGGCATATGGCTTTACGCTTTTGCACATGGCATCTCCACCTCTTCTTGTCGTTTTTTGCGAATGGCACTTGAATGAACGGGGAGGCTAGTATGTCATTTTAAGTCACCAACAACAAACATGAACAAACCCACATCGACGTCCTCAATTATTTTGGTTCCTCCCTCTCTCTCTCTCGTACCCCGGCCCTCCCTGAACAATGAATTCAGGCATAAGTTTATAGAAAAAGACTAGAAGAAACAAGAGGAAGAAAAGCAAACAATGACACTTTTTCAGTGCCAAAAGGGAAAGGACACTTATTCATTGCCACAAATGTTAAAAACAAACACTTTCTCAGTGCCAGGAAGAAACACAGGAGAGAATTAACGTCATCTGCCTTCAGTCCTGTCCTGTCCTTTGTTTTGTATTCTCGACCCAGCCAACAAATGTGACAAATAGGTTTAGCAAACATCTGAGCAAATACCAAAACCATCTTCTCTGTATGGGCCATCTTAGTGCACATCCTTCTTGTATACTTGAATCGTCAGCAATCGCTGCAATTGCAAAAATGAAATTGCACATGTGCAATCTCAATGGTCTCTGTCTCTGGTGTTTTTTTTATGCAATCATTCCGTGATTCTCTTCAGGAACGTAAGGCGGGCGCAGCAGTGAAGCAATGCACGCAAGCTGCCCTCGCTGGACACTGGAGCGTGCAGCATTTCCAAAAGCATGGCCTTGAAAGGCTGGAAATAGAACAGTTCCTGAAACATTTTTCAAAGTGATTTCAAAGTTAATTGAACAAACACATCACGGGGAATTGTTGAACTATCTTGCGATTCTTTCGAAGAGGTTTCTCTGGAACAGAACCGATGTCGCCCAGTTGCAAGGAGCTCCTGGGACAATGGCGAGAAGAACAAAAACGACAAAAGAGTAGCGTCCTTGCTCCTAGTAGCGGTGCCAGGAGCTACTAGTAGCTTCTTGTTACTAGTAGTAGTAAGGCCAGGAGCTACGATCGTAGCGTTCAAGAGAATCCTGAAAAACCTCTCCACCTCTTCAAAAGTGAAGCAAAATTTGATCTCACAAAGGCACTCCTCACCCCTCGCATCAACGAAGGTTGATCGCACCAGTTGCTCCAAACGCAACAGCGCCAGCAAAGGCGGAGCTGGTGGAGCTGGTGGCCGGTCCCTTTGGTCACGTGATGGGCAGCCGCACCTGGGGTGACGGGACGCGGACCATTCGGACCAGCTACGCTGTGCGGTCGGCGCTGATGCCGCGCAGAAAGCTCTGTGTGAAGTCAAGCGGCGCCTCTAAGAAGGAGAGCCTCACTGAGCAAAGAAGGAGAGCCTCGTGTCTTTGAGTGTCTTTATTGTCATGTGAAAAGATCCACAGTGCTTCAGAACAAAGCTTCTCCGAGGCGCAAGTATGGCACCTCAGATCAATGAAGGCGAGAGACAAGCTCCACTTCTGGGACGCAAGATGTCCCAAGAAGCTCGAGAATTCCAAAAGAACATGTCATCTCACAAACAAAGACAAACAAATTCGCAGAACTTCACCAACTGGAGCACACTGAGTACACATGGCAAGGCGCGCTGCGACCCGTGCGTCGCGCTGTGTATCCTGGAGGGCTCTCCTGCATATCTTGGAGTGCGGCAGCTGCGCCCAGCACTTCAGCGGAGGCCTTCGAGGGACAAGTTCTGTACGACTGGTCGATTTTCGCATGCATCCGACCATTGCTAGTAGTCACAAGTGGGTTGTCAGAAGCATTGCTGGACTCCGTTCGGTCACAACAAGGCGTTGACATTCATTTCGTTGGGGGGAAGGAGAACTCATCGGTTCTTTCGCTATTAGATTTCTTGTGCAGCAAACACATACTGAGCAAAGGGCATCGCTACTAGGAGCAAGGACGCTACGAACGGGGCTCCTGGCATCGCTACAAACTGAGCATTCTTTCTGGCTCCTACCCTCCCCGCGCGCGCGCGAAAAGGTCCTAGTAGCTTCTTGTGTTAATTCTAATTAAACTATCGTTTCTAATAGCTTCTTGTTGCGTTCGTAGTAAGAATGCTCCCTTGGTAGCGATGCCAGGAGCCCCGTTCGTAGCGTCGCCCCGCCGACCTCCACAGGTGCGGCCCCCTGAGCTTCAGCAAGCTGCCGCCAGCCAACTCCCAAGCCCTCCACCTGGGACGTCGTCTCCCGTCAAAAGCGTCGGGTTTGCCGGGTGACGCCACAGCAAGTCACAGGTTTGGTGTTTCAACGTCTTTGCCGGTTTGCCGTTCACTACTAGTAAGGCACTTGTTACTACTAGCGTGGCACTTGTTACCGTTCACTACTTCACCTCAGTACGAATTCAAAATTCTGTGAAGACCCCAAAAACGGCCATTCTCCGCTTTTGGGCTCTTTTCTTCGTCCGTGGATGGTCGGCTGGGCGTTGGCCCCGCCCCGCCTTGGCAAGCTCCGCCTTGGAACGGAGTGAGGGGGACTGGTCCGGACCACAAATCACATCGTTCGGAACCAAATCGGCGTCCTGCGACGATCTATCCTGCGTCCAGATGTAGAAGCTCACTTAGCCTAGTAGCTTACTTCTCCCAGCAGTGCACTAGTCGCCCTTACTGAATGAAGTAGGCGCCTACTCAATTAATTAGGAGCGGGCAAAAAAAGGAAAAACATGAACAAGCTAGTCTTACGGCAGAATCCCCAAAATTTCCAGGTTGAAAGGACAATCACAAGAATCACATCACTTCTCTCGAAACTGTCCCGAATTCTCCGAGGTGCCAAATGATCCTTCAGCTTGGGATGCGCTGCCAAGACCGGCCCGTGGATGTAGGCTTCCACCTGTGTAGCACAGTCTTTACCGGAACTGAAGGGCTCCTTTTTTGAGGGGCCTAGGCCTAGGCTGTGGCCCATAGGCCACGCTTACCTTGCCCTTCAAAAAGAGCATCTGAACGAGCAAGACTTGGAAAAAAGGACAACGAACCCACAGCCGCTCACTACGCCTCTTGATGAGATGCACCAGGCAAGCTCCTCGCAGCAGCCTGGACACAGGCCAAAAAGATGCGAACAAAGACCAAGTGACCAAGTGAGAAATGAGCAACACAATCGCTCAATTTCGGAGGTGTGAACATCTCCCAAAGGCCCAGCCAAGAGCTGAAAGTCTTATTCAGCAGCTTCCGATTGGTCGGTCTCTGCGCACCGCACGAGCTTTTCAGACCAAAGAGTCACAGGGTTTCTCAGCTTTGGCTGCGCCACGGGACTCTAAAGAATAAATTCCTGCAACTGGGCTAGGAGATCTGGCACCTCAAATCGGAGAAAAACATGAAAAACGTGTGGCCAACCTGTCGGATCAAACGCATGCCAAAAGTGGTCAACGACTCAGCTGCAAAAACAACAACGACTGAACAAAAATCCTGAGTCTGAACAAGCACCGATCCTATGGTTATCTGCCTTATTTAAAAAAAAGGTCCGTCGCACGAAGCGGAAAAACAGTTGACAACTCGGATTTCATGGCCATGCGGTGGCCATCTGCCGAGGGACTTCACGCCAGCGGTTGGCCGTCTCATGGCAGCTGATCAAAAAGGAGTATGTCACCACCTGGAGGAAAATTTGAGTTGATAAGGCAAATGCTGCCATTTAATCGATTTTTTCCGACCATCTCAGACCCTTTTCCTTCTTCGTGTCCAGTTTTTTCGGTATTTTGTCTCAGCAATCCGGATGGGTTTCGAGTGAATCTGGGCATCCCTGACGTCTGGATCACAGCGCTTGCTCCGCATGTCATGTATGAGTTGATGTCCAGTTCTCCAATCATTCATGCGCTGACAAAGGCCCACAGCGGCACCTGTGCAGTCCACGGCATGTCTGGCAACCGATCATGGCTTAACAAAATGCCCGGACGCATGGCTTTAAAACGCATCGGATCCATCCAAACATATTTCCCAATTTTGGCTTCTGTACTCGGCCAAGGGGCTGTAAATTTGCAGGGACACCACAGGCATCTGTTTCAACAGTTCCAAGCCCGTCTTTGGAGAAGACACCGCCAAAAGTGCCGCATAGGTAAGGGCCTCAAGGATGTGAACTCCGGAAATATTAGCAATAGAGATTCTTTTCACCCGGTTTGACTCCAAGTGTCATTGGGTTCGAAACTCATCTCCTGCATTTCTTCAAACAGCCGCCAGGCCTGAGTATGCTCGGTATGACGCCCTAGACTCAGTGATGAATGTGCTCCGTTGGGTCTATCGTATTTCTAGTCCCAACACGATCCGTTTCGACTCGTCTCAGCGGCCCTATCAGGGGCAGTGACAAAGCTTGGTTCTGTACATGCTGAAATGAGGCAAAATCACACCCAGCATATCTACGCAGTTCTTTGTACATCCAAAGGATCTTGCATTGGGTTCTCGATTCCGATGGAGTGAAAAATTCACATGCCAGGAACGAATTCTTGGAACCTAACTCTCAGGCTTCGATTCCACTGATCATTGCTTCACCGCTGGCCAACACGCAATCAAGCAGTCCGGCCTCATGGTCTTTGTCAGACAATGAGCAAGCAGTGTCCGTCCCTTGGAGTTCGTCTTTGCGCGCGGCGCAGCGATCCATTCCTCTCCATCAAGCCACAAGCCTGGTCTCAGGCCCGACAGTTCGATTCTAAGCCGTCTTCAGCATTGAGGTGGTCGCTGGGTGAACGAGTCCCATAGAATCATAGAAGTGCTTCATGCATAGAAGTGTTCATCTTCCTGTGGCTTTCCTGCCAGATCAACATTGACTGAATGCGTCCAAGCAATTCGCGAAATTGCCCTCAAGCGATCCCCTGCCTCTACTGCATTCTGTGGGGCATATGCTTCTGCCCGACCTGCTGCTCTGCACACTCTCTTCAAGGTCCGCATATGAATCGATGCTTTCCTCCTGGGCCATCACTCCTGGTGAGGTAATGAATCCTTATGAATCCTCCCTTGCTGAGACTTTACCGAGGTTCATTTGCAAAGCTCGCATCTGACAAGCAGTCTTGAACCCAATTTCTTGGAGTGCCAATTCATTCATTCAACGTCGCTTGCGTCCACTGCGCATCCTCTGCATCGTTCACCTTGTAGCAAGGGTCAGGTCCCCCATACCTACTCACCCATGCCAAAGAACCGTCCGGGTGAAATTGTCACGGGCTTAATTCCCTTTCTGTTGTCCTGGACGTCAATGTGCACGTTGTAGAGTGGGTCCTGGGTGAAGCGTCTTCCACCGTATTGAAATGAGCCTTCCTCAATCTTCTCGGCTGAGGAGTTGTCCAGCACTGTCTGAACTGCTTCCGGTCCTTCACCTGCGCGCGTGGTCAAAAGATCGCCAACATGAGTGCAAATCAATGCCACAATGCTGCCAGCGTCATTCTGTGAAGTATGTTCATGGGCAGATCTTAGAAGCCTGAAATCCAGTCGCCAGGATCTCAGAATGTGTCCTCAAGTAAGAATCGTTTTCCTGCATCTCTGGTCCCATAAATTGGAACTCTGTGCGTCAAAAGCGCATTGTCAGGGATGCGGTCATCGTGGCAGCGGCGTTGAGACATCAGGAGCAATCTTGGCACCGTCATCTGGCTTGCCTGCTTCGTGGACGTTCTTGGTGGTATCCACCCACCTGCTTGGAACAACCTTGCATCCTTCAGCCATCAAGCTGTTTCGCATGTCACCCCTGACTGGCGCCAGCGCATCAAACCCTTGTACTTCTCCATGGGCGCTCATCCTTGCTCACTGGCATAGATGAAGAAATGCCGCGCCCTCATTCACGCGCGCCTCCAGTGCACCTAAGTTTTCTGCTTCCTCGGGGCCTGTCACGGACCCTGGGAAGTTCAGTGAAATGCTTTCAGCCTTCACTCGACGAATCGACGGTCCCAATCTCTGATGCAGCCCTGTCTTCACTCTCTCCCGAGAAACGTCCGCCTGCCTCTGCTCCAACACCTCTCCTGAGGATGTCAAGGTGTGTTCCAACATGGCTTGTGAGAGACTCACAAAGTGTTCAAAACGTAGACTTTGTGGTCACTGCAGCCAGTTTCCTCCGTGAGCGCTTGTGACAAGTTGGTGCAAAGTAGCCCACCTTCTTCCACCCTGCACAACTCTATCTCTGGTCACCCAATCCCACTGCTGCTTTTGCTCTCCCCCATCAACTTCGCCAAGCCCATTGCCGCTTGACAATGAAGTCAACCGAGGCAAACGTCCAGGACCACAGTCTTGGTGTTTCCGGACAAGCCTTTCCCACATCTGACGCCCAACATCCAGTGCAAAGGATTCATGGCTCTTTGGTGAGGCAAAGGCGTCAGTGTTCAACTCTTCTTCTTCTTCTTCCGGCCGCCAAGGGGTCCTTGTCTTCCGCGTCTTTCACGTCCACGTTCGGGAATCCTTACAGGAGATGGTCCAGACCTGATGGCCTGATCCTTGAGTTCAACCATCTTCTTCTTGATCTTCTGGTTCGTGTGCTCCATTCGCTCTCTGGTCAGAAAACTCCCATTCGCGAAATCCGGCCGGCGCCTGCATAGATGTAGGAACCACTCATGGTCTCCGGAGGGCTTCCTTGTGGGAAGATCTGAAACGCAGCCCTGCTAAAGACATAGTTCCAGTCAAGCGCAATCAACCAAGCTGCAACTCAAATCTGGTCAGCTTTTGAAGCCAACAACCAAGTCCTGGATCTGAGAGCCGCTGTGAGAGTGCGGGGGTCACTCTCCAGCACCGACTGTTTCATGGACAAATGCTTTGCTGTGCTGCACACTACACCCATATTGTCGCACTGTTGACGAAGAGAAATTCTCCCCATCTTTGCTTCCAAAGATAGTTGCGACCGCTGGCACGACAAAAGGATCAACTGGGCTAGGGCCTCCAAGGCTGCAATGGCCGATTGCAAATCACGCAAATCTTTTGTAAACCAAGCTGGTAAAGCAGCCCATTCTACTTCGCAGGAAAACCAGAAGATGTTGGGCGGGTGGAGCTCTGCACCCTCTGGCAGGAACCAACCGCCCACACCAGCCCGGGTCCCTTCTGCATAGGCATCCGCTGCCGCCACAACGCAGGGACCGGGGAGGTCAACCAAATGCACCGGCGCATGTTGAAGCAACCGCATGAAAAACCGGGCCACTGCAAGCTCTTCAGAGGATAAGCGAATCTCTGCTGAACCGTCTTCACCAAATTTTAGCCAGGCTTGATCACGCTTGAGGGGCGCACACAATATGTCAGCCCGGTTTTGTACCGCGTGGCCACCAATCTCTAGCAGTTTCCAGCCAGCCTGAATATCACAAAGCCGGGGAAGGCGGGATACCCTGCAGTCCCTATCCAAGCAATGATACAAATCTTCCAGCTGCTCGCGTTGTAACGATTGAAAGCGCAGTCGCACTTTGCCCAGCATATGAAACCAAACTTGCAGCCGGGGTTTTAGCCAAAAAGCTCCTGTGGTGTACCACACAAGACCTGAACCAGGGTTTGTAGCTCTTTCCGGTTCACCCTGCGGGGTGTTGCACAAATCTGCTGCAGACTGCTAAGCATGGCCTCCAGCTTTGATGCTGGCAAGAATGCGCTGGGGCAGCCCTGAAAACGCCAAATCCCAGCCTATCCAACTTAGCTGGTCGCCAAGGTCAACCTTGTGCCAAAGCCAAGTACACAGGCCAGGATCAGTAGCTGGCAGGCCATGGGAGCTGCTACCCTGTGCGGGAACAATGCCAATGCGTCGTCCACATAGATGCAGAAGTGACTGTGATGTAAGAATCGATGTGCTACACGGATGAAGGCAGCAGCAACCCTGCTCCACCAATACGCCGCCCAAGCACACCCCAAATGGCAGGTTTTGTAATAGACCCACTTTGTAGCCCCGCTGCGGTCTTTGACGCAAAATGTGCTGAGCCCCTGTTCTGCCGGGTGTACCTTGACCTGTTTATGCGCCTTGCTGAAATCAAGCCTGAACGCTAGCCACTGCTCCTGAGGGTGTCTAGATAGGAACTGGGCCACGGTGCTGAGCGTGGGCAGTTCGATGCGCTCTTTGATGCGGCGCTGGGCATTGGCACCAGACACACTGCTGTCTCCTATCAACCGTGCAGCTGCTCCGGCTTTCTGCACTATCCCTAGTTTGCCCGACTCAGACACAGCGGCTGCCCGGCACAAATCTCCGCGCTGGGGCCGCAACACCTTGACTTTTCAGAAAAAAGGCAAAATCACTGCGAAGTATTTGCACTTCTTCCTCATTCAGCCAAGGAGTGCGCGCACGAGCTTGCGCATGAGCATCAAGTCTTTGCACCAAGTCCCACTCTTTAATCCCGAGGTCGGCCTGTTGGGGCTGGAACCAATCGGCCGTGGAGATGGTGCCACCACCGTCACGCAGCTGGAAGGTGGAAGGCTCTTGCTCAAGCACTTGCTGCGCTGGCGGAGGGCTTGGCCTCAAATTAGCAAGCTCCACCGCTTCGGGGAGTTTGACGACCCCTAGTCACTGATGTGACTTTTTGCTGCACGCTCCCGAATGGTGGTCGGGTGAGCCACATGTAGCACATTTATGCTTAAATTTGCATTGCCGCTGCTTGCACTCCCCAGCAATCCATTTGAAGCATTCACCGGTGGGCCGGCGCTTAGGCTGCTTACGCTTTAAGGGCTCGCGCGGCTCACGACTTGGAGGCTTTTCAATTTTGGGGCGGGGCATCAACAAGGAACGCAGCATGTCGCGATCAATGGTCATTGTGCTCAAAGCGTCATCTAAGCTGGCGCCCGAGTAGCAGAGCCCAAACACTTCTCGCACGGCGCACTGATCGGCCTCCTCAGCTTCCTGCGCTGCGCAAAACCGGAAGTGAGGATAGAGCCAACCATGGCATAGGCGTGCGCCCGCACTTGCAGCAGCTGCATGATGGGGTAAGGGGCATTGGAGATGTCTCGATCCAGGACCTGCTCTTGACCCTGGCAGTTCGCCAGAAAGGCTTCCAACGATTTCCATGCAGTTTTCCTGTCTTTCAGCCCCGACGCGACTTTCTCGCTTAATATCTTCTTCCATCTCCCAAGCTTTGCTGTCATGCTGCTGTTTGGCAAGGTTCGGAAGGCTCATGGATCTGCGCAATCTGTCTCGATCAGCCACTGTCAAAGCTTTTCCCGCGGGAGGAGGAGGCAATGCGGGGACGAGGGCATTCTGCACAGGGAGGGCTTGCACTTGCGGTCCAAC